CGTATCTCCCACCTGGATGTATTAGTCAGGGTTCTCTAGAGGGACAGGACTAATAGGATAGATGTACACATGAAAAGGAGTTTATTAGGAGAATTGACACACATGATCACAAGGTGAAGTCCCACAATAGGCCATCTACAACCTGAGAAGCCAGGAAAGCAATCTGAGTCCCACAACATCAAAAGTAGGGAAGCCAACAGTGCAGCCTTCGGTCTGTGGCTGAAGACCTGAGACCCCCTGGCAAAGCCCTGGTGTAGGTCCAAGAGTCTAAAAGCTGAAGAACTTGGAGTCTGATGTTTGAGGGCAGGAAGCATCCAGCATGAAAGAAGATGGAGACCAGAACACTTAGCCAGTCTAATCCTTCCAGGTTCTTCTGCCTGCTTTTAACTTAGCCACAATGGCAGCCGATTAGATGGTGCCCATCCAGATTGAGGGTTGGTCTGGGTCTCCTAGTCCACTGACTCAAATGTTGATGTCCTTTGGCAACACCCTCACAGACACACCCAGGAACAATACTTTGCATTTTTCAATCCAATCAAGTTGACGCTCAATATTAACCATCACACTGGAGAACAGCAAGCATCAGCTACCACTACTGTCAGGAAACCATTCTGTGCTCATTGAATCAGGGCTTTGCTAAGCTTGGGTTGTATTATGGTGCAAAGAAGAAGAAGATGCATATCTTTTTATCATTTTTCATATACTGAGGCAGGAGGCAAAAATACAGAACACTACCAACTGATCTGATTTCCAGAGAAGAACTCTGTGCTACCAGGAGTGAAAAATTTGCAGCATGCCAGCCAGGGTGCAGAGACACAAACATCTTCCTTGTTTGATGAAAAAGTGGCACAAATTAGAGGATACTGGACAATAACTTTTATGAATTAAGATCAAAGAAGAAGCCAGGCGCGGTGGCTCAAGCCTGTAATCCCAGCACTTTGGGAGGCCGAGGCGGGTGGATCACAAGGTCAAGAGATCAAGACCATCCTGGTCAACATGGTGAAACCCCGTCTCTACTAAAAATACAAAACATTAGCTGGGCGTGGTGGCGTGTGCCTGTAATCTCAGCTACTCAGGAGGTTGAGGCAGGAGAATTGCCTGAACCCAGGCGGCGGAGGTTGCAGTGAGCCGAGATCCTGCCATTGCACTCCAGCCTGGGTAACAAGAGCAAAACTCCGTCTCAAAAAAAAAAAAAAAAAAAAAAAAAAAAAAAAAAAAAAAAAAAAAAAGATCAAAGAAGAATATGTGGAAAGAATAAATTAAGAAGAGATGCTTCTTTAAAGAACATGGTATAAATTACTTAGAAAATATTTAACACCTAAATATTTTCCCATTCTTTGTCCTGTGGGAGTGTTGAATACATATACACTAAAGAACACTTGTGGCTGGGCTCTGTGGCTCTTACTTGTAATCCCAGTACTTTGGGAGACTGAGGAAAATGGATCACTTGAGCCCAGAAGTTTGAGTTCAGCCTAGGCAATATGGCAAAACTATCTCTACCAAAAAAAAAAAAAAAAAAAAAAAAGAAAGAAAATTAACTGAGGGTAGTGGCATGTTCCTGTGGTCTCAGCTAGTCCAGAAGCTGAGGTGAGAAGATTGCTTAAGCCCAAGAGGTCATGGCTGCAGCAGTGAGCCGTGGTCACACCACCGCACTCCAGCCTGGGCAGCACAGTAAAACCCTGTCTCAGAAAAACAAAAGCAAAAACGAAAAATGTTTGTGATAAATGTGAGACACTAAGATTAAATTGAAAATGGGGCTCCTTACATACATCACCTAGCTACCCAGCTCAAATTAAGAAGCTGCCAAAACCCTTAAAGTCCTGAGGGTCCCTCATCCTGACAACTCTCTCCGCCGTAGAGATTATTATCTTGTATCTTGTGTGTTTTTAAATTTCTCTTTATTTTTATTAATAGTTGTACCATCATAGGGGCCTCTACTATGTTGTTCGGTGTTGCACATATTGAACTTTATTCATGTATACTCAAGAAGTATGTATCTTTCTGTAGTGTGCTATTTTCATTCACTATTACGTTCCTGACCTTCATCTTGTTGACATTTAGAGTTCCGTTCCCTCATTCACAATGCTGTGTAGTATTCCATTTGTAAACATGCTATGATTTGTTAACTTATTCTCCTGCCAATCTAGTGCCCTGTTACCGCAGACATAGTTGCCATGGATGCTCTTGTGTGTCCTGATGCAGGTGTCTGAGCTTCCCTGCTAGATATTTAGGGGTGAAACTGATGGATCATAGGTTGTGAGCATCTTAAAATTTATTGTATAATTCCATATTGTTTTTCAACCAATTGTGACAACTGATAATCTCATGTGCAGTGCATAAGGGTTGCAGTATTTCCATGCTCAAATTATCATTCACATGATGAGAAACATTGACTAATCACTTACTACTTACTATATTAAGTAAAGGTATTTGCAGTTTATGTACAAACTCATTTTTCCGGCGTATCACTGTCTGTTTCCTTCTCTAAAACATAAACCTGAGTGCCAATCATGATGTGTGTCTCCCTGTCATTGCATGAAAAATTCACAATTTTCAAGATGCACGTATACAAGTTTAACTTTGATTTTGTTTGTCTAAAATTTTATGTTTTCAATCAGGATTGCTCTATCACTAGCAGAAGATAGAGCTTCACCAAACCCCATTGTGCAAAGGAAGTATGCCTATAGCTTAAGAGATGTGAATGCAATCATTTTCATTTTTTAGCATCAAAACAATTTACTCCATTTTTCCTTCACAAAATGTGGACAATACATTCCATAAAATGTTTTATGAGGACTAAATGAGATAATATATGAAAAGCCTCTAATACAATGCTCAGTATTAAGCAGACATTCAATAAAGCTCTTATTATTCAACAGCAACTCACAGTAAATCACCAACTTTGAGAGCTACTCCAATAACAAACAGGTATAATATAGCCATATTCATTAAAAAACTTTCTCCAAGGTTGTAACTTCAATAATATTTAATATCCCACGTAACATAGCCTTACTGACATTTTAAAAGCCCAGGAGTTATTTACTGTAATACAAATATAGTAATCTACAGATTTGATTATTAGGTCAGAGACTAAAAGAAAACATTTCTTAGTAGAAATTAACTGGGGTGGAAGAGCGCACATGCTTTCTAGACATACATCATGCACACAGGCATATTGTCCCTGGTCTCAAGACTGAATTCAAGGCCAGTCTATTGGAGCATCTACATCTTACTAAATTATGTTTACACTAAGTTAAAAGCATTTTAGTATAACGATTGCTGAGGCTCATCATCACTCAGAAATCCCAAAAGGATTGTGATGGATGACAAAGCAGACCGCAGATCCAGATCCTGAGTGGTAAGCAAGATGCAGAGGATCAAATATTATCCTAAAAAGAACTTATTGGTTATCTTCTTCTCCTCTCTCCATATTTAACTATATATTTAATAAGGAATATGAATGCCTTTTTAGTCCACACGTTCAACATTTATGCAACGAGAAATAGGATTAGCATGGCTTACAAAATTTATTTTGGGGGAGGCTTCAGCTCCTGAGGAATTATAGAGTATGTTCTTTTAATTCTTACTTATTTAGGTTACAGACTGTTCAGCCAGGAATTATGTTCTTATAATTAAGTACAGCATCCTTAGAGATCCTATGGTTGTTATTGATATATCACTTCAGTTCCAAACGCATTTAAGTTGTTCGCAAATGCATACAAGATAGCAAGATAAAATATTTAAACTCTCTAGAAAGAACCTTTAGGAATCACAAAAATAGGGAAGCAAGATGGTGTCAGAAATGTGGTCAATGAACTAATGGATACCTCAATAAATCATATACCAGGCAAGGTAGAGCACAAGTTTGACTTTGAGTTTCCCAATTAACATGGAGAAAGGAGAAAATATAAGCAGTAACAAGACTATACATAATATATTCTAGTTATTTGGGAGAAATATCAATATGAAATAAGAGAAAATATTTTCTATGGATCCTCATAAAAAGAATATTTTCTCATGATGGTTAAAGCAGTTCAGTAAGAAGCAATTGTGTTGGACTCAGTATAATGTGTGGTGATATGTAGTGAGTTAGGTTTTTGTTTTGTTTTGTTTTTTGTTTTAAATGGAGTCTCACTCTGTCTCCCATGTTGGAGTGCAGTGGCACTATCTGGGCTCACTGGAACTTCTGCCTCCCGGGTTCAAGTGATTCTCCTTCCTCAGCCTCCCAAGCAGCTGAGAATACAGGTGTGTGCCACCACGCCCGGCTAATTTTTGTGCTTTTAGTAGAGATGGGTTTTCCCCATGTTGACCAGGCTGCTCTTGATCTCCTGATCTCAGGTGATTCACTCACCTTGGCCTCCCAAAGTGCTAGGATTACAGGCATGAGCCACCACATCCAGCCATTTAGACATATTTTGATGGTCTCACTTAATCTTGAAATAGATTTTAGATTATATGGCAAACGGAGGGCTTCATTTCCTCCAGGCCATCTTCCATAAATATTATTTCTCTTAGCCATGCATCTGAAAAGTATTGAGCTGCAGTAAATTTGCGATTATAGTCCCTGACAAGTACCAGGAAAGCTGTAATTCTATGTTTTCATTTACAAACAGAGCTTTACACTCCAAAACTCAACAAAATTGTATGTAGCACAAGCATCCTCATATGAAAAACAGGAACTGGATAAATATGGGCCTGCCCAGACCACTCAATTTCCGACGTGAAAGGTATACAGGCAATGCTGGTAGTCAAAGTGAAGAGTTCCTCAGAAAACAATCCTGGGACTACTTTAGTGTAAAGGAAAGCAGGAGGTAAAGTTCTGCAGCTGCATTCCATAACGCATACTGGCAGTAATTTGTCAAAACAAAACAAAAACCTAGCGAAAAATGGCTCAAGCCTTAGGAAAGAAGAAGGAAGACAGAGGAAGGCACAGGAGGAAAGAAACGAGGACCATCTACAGAGTGTTTGGTTTTGAGCAACAAAGATTCCTGAAATATTTTCCAAAATAAGCCTGTGGCAAAATGTTGAACTCGGAAACGGAAACAGAAAATTGATGCACCAAATAATCAGTTATAAAACAGTTGAAATGTACAAAAGGATATAAAGCATTTGTGGTGTTGACTGAAAAATTAACCATGTACATTTGCTAAAAGTAGAAATGTAGGGACAGAGACTGAAAAATATAATGGTCCTTAGGGCTATTTATTTTGGCATTACATGTTTATAAAGTAAATACATGAAATTGAAAGTCTTTCTCTATAACTTGTGTCTCCAAATTTCCTAGAGTCTTTTATTGTATCAGATTTGATCTGGCTTCACTCATTTTTGTTCTCAATCTGCCTGGCCCCTGAGGCTACTGGAGACTGTGCTCCTAGGGCATGTCCATTCTACAGTGGAATGTGAGAAAGTAGTAAAACACAACAACAATAACAATAAAAATAAATAAAATTCTGTATTTGAGTCTGAGAACAGCTAGAGGTGACTTAGATTAACTGAAAAACGTATACAAGAATTTTGCTAACATGCCTCAAAGACTGCACAGGGGTATGAATCATGTAATACAGCACTATGCCACACGGGGGCACTATATAGTCAGCTTTCTCAGATGAAAGCAAAATGTGGAAGTGTAGAAATAAGACTTGATGAAAAAAAAATTATATTCTCACCCAGGTAATAAAAAAAAATCAAAATTCTAGAACATTTAAAGATCCAATGTGTGGTTTGTAATAAAACGGAAATAGCTTGACTTGCTCTCACATCAATTCCACCTGCAACTTGGCCTCTATCAGTTTTTCAAACCGCCTAGGAATTTTTCAACTTAAAGGCCTTTGCACATTCTATATATCTCTGCCGAGGACACTCTCTGACCTCATTGCAATCTTTTAGATCCCAGTTGAAATGCAATCTCCCAGGGACAGCTAACCTAGACACCTCACCTAACACGAATCTCTCTCACACAACATGCAACTATTATGTCAGCCCTCTGTGTATTTTAGTTATGAAACGTATCCCAAAGTATATTATTTATGCACATTCCTATGTGAGTGTTGTCTGTTCCCTGAAGTATGCTTTAAGCTCCATGAGTCTAAAGCACTACCTTTCTTGATCACATTTTAATCCCCAGAGCCTAGGACCATGGGGCATAGTAGAAACAAAAATTATGTGCCGAATGAATGAATGAATGAATCCCTAGGACTGTGGTTTATTTTACCCTAAAAACTTTGACTGAGCTCCACACTCTCACAGAAATCTTTGCAATACTAAGAAAAGAAGTAGTGAATGTCACCCTGTATTTTCTGACCAATCTGGAGGTTATATGAATTATGGAGAGTTCTGATACACTCTTTATTCACACTGCTTCTCTTCTATTTAAAAACCTGCCCTACTTTGGAAAGGGTGAAGTGGGACAAGCTGATGAAGAACACAGATGTTTGAGGGAAGAAAGCTATACTCTTCGGTCCTTGTCCTCAGACCCCACATCTTCCCTGCTGCTATATTCTGTATATACCCTTGTCAAGGCAGAAATGCAGAAGAGAGGTGACAGAGGAGTTTAATGCTGCCCTTTCTTACCCAGCATGAGAACAACATAACTGTCTTTTCTTTTTCTTCCAACTTTACAGATACTTACTGCGGCATATGAAATGGTCACTTACAAATTAGCACCAATAAAAGGGTATTAAAAGTATTTGTTTATGGGACATTGTGGTGTAAAAACACTACCTCTTAACAGCAACAGCATGATGTAACTTTACAAAACCAATAGGGAAGGAGATAGAAAAGACACAAACATGCATGGGGTGGAGGGAACCACAGCGGGGCAAATGTGGATTACAAAAGGCCAGAGGCCATTTGCTCCCTGATAGTTAATGCCATGCTTAGCATGATACAATATAATTGTTGATTAAGTGGGTGCTTCATTTTTTTTTTTTTTTTTTGAGATGGAGTTTCGCTTTCTTGCCCAGGCTTGAGTGCAATGACACAATCTCGGCTCACCTCAACCTCCACTTCCTGGGTTCAAGGGATTGTCCTGCCTCAGTCTCATGAGGAGCTGGGATTACAGGCATGCACCACCATGACCAGTTTATTTTGTATTTTTAGTAGAGACAAGGTTTCTCCATGTTGATCAGGCTAGTCTTGAACTCCCAACCTCAGGTTATCCTCCTGCCTCAGCTTCCCAGGGTACTAGGGTTATAGGTGTGCGGCACCACGCCTAGCCCCGTAAGTGCTTCTTGAAGGGTTAAATAGAAACTGTGATTGATCATAAAGTGGTGGCACTGTTTTGCTTTTTGTTTTTGTTTTTTATTTTTGCCATGAAGAATTTAGGGTATAAGAGCTGCAAATCTGTCCATCATCAAAGATTGAAAAATCCAGGCGAGCTGGAATGAATGTTAGGTTTTCCCCAGCCATGGTCTTTAGAGAGCAGGAGATCAGACCTCAGCAGGACTAAGGAAATTCTATTACCTTGTTACTCATAGGTCAGTAGATTTGGGGTTATGCTTTCTCCCTTTTTCAATCTGCTGTGGATTCAGCAAAAAGGCCCAGAACTGGCAAAGGAACAAAGCAGCAAACAGTGAGGCCCAAGGAAAGCTTTAGGCCCAACAAGACCCTTACCAAATGAAAAGGGAGAGAGTACTCCAGGGGACAGTAGGTGAAAAGAGCAGAGAACCAAAAGCAGAATGGAATAATTTGCTTACACGTAAGGGATGTTCATTAATGGACAAATATTCACAGCACTATAATCTGCTAGGCCAAAGGTGGAATTATGTGTATGTTTTAAATACCTTTGTATGTAAGATTTTAATTATTTCTTAGAAGTCAAAGAACCCCATTTCAGATATTTGGATATCCTCTCCCTTTCATTTCCAAGACTCAGAAACTATTAAGGGTAAAAATAAGATTGCAGCAAATCTAAATTTTGTGAAAGTCAAATAAAAATCACTTAAACATATGTGAGTCACCACATATATAAATTGTAGCATTAAAATGCTTCCTAAGTGGCACAGTCTTTAAAAAAATAAATTTTCAATGGTAGCACAGCTTTTCGATTCAGTTTCTATTTTAATCTCTGATATTCTCGCATACCTATGCACACCTGGAAACATCTGTTACTGTTTCAAAAAGACAACTATTAGCAAACTTCTTATATACACCTGAATATCATGCATTAAAATCAAATACTTATTTCATTTCTTCAAAATCACGTTACTATACTAATCAGGTATTCCATCCTTTCTGCAATATGATATTCCTAGAATAAGTTACCCAAAGTTCTCTAAGATGCAAAATGACCATATTTAAAGTTTCAATGAAATGTAATCAATCTTTAATTTGTTTCTGCCACTTTACTATGCTCTGGGGTGTTTGGTTTTTTTGTTTTGTTTTGTTTTGTTTTGTTTTAATCTCTCTCTGTCTGTCTATCTCACACACACAAACACACACACCTGGTGCTGTCAGCTCTGAGATTTCTGATGATCAAGAGAAACAGGATTACCTGAATATCTTTTAAACTTGAAGTGCTTTCATATGTCAATGAATGGCAATGTGTTTGTGTCATTACAGACAAAATTACGGCAGTCTACTTCCAGATGTCACAAATGTAGGGATTAATCAACATAAAATGTCATAAGCAATAATTAAATAAATTCCAATAGAATGAGCGTATAATTTTTAAACCCAAGTCAGATAAAGCTATAAGGGATATTCAAATGCCAGTACATATGATATTAATACCTGTAAGTATTTTGTGGTATTAAGAACATGAACAAATAGAAAATTCTATTAAGTTTGAAGTTCTTTAAAGTTAGATGGAAACAGCATTTATTGGTATTCCAATGAGGTTTTAGGATTCAGTTGGAAAATACATATGTTTCTTATTATTATTATTATTATTTTGCTTTTTTTTTTTGAGACGGAGTCTCACACTGTCACCTGGGCTGGAGTGCAATGGCACGATCTCAGCTCACTGCAACTCCACCTCTTGGGTTTTCACACGATTCTCCTGCCTCAGCCTTCTGAGTAGCTGAGATTACTGGCGCACACCACCACACCCAGCTAATTTTTTGTATTTTCAATAGAGACGGGTTTTCACTATGTTGGCCAGACTGATCTCAAACCCCTGACCTTGTGATCTGCCCGCCTCAACCTCCCAAAGTGCTGGAATTACAGGGGTGAGCCTGGCCTATACATTTCTTTTCTTTTCTTTTCTTTTCTTTTTTTTTTTTTGACACAGTCTTGCTCTGTCACCAGGCTGGAGTACAGTGGTGCCATCTCAGCTCACCACAACCTTCGCCTCCTGGGTGCAAGCAACTCTCTGGCCTCAGCCTCTCGAGTAGCTGAGATTACAGACACGTGCCACCACACCCAGCTAATTTTTATATTTTAGTAGAGACGGAGTTTCACTATGTTTGCCAGTATGGTCTCGATCTTTTGATCTCATGATCCGCCTGCCTCAGCCTCCCAAAGTGCTGGGATTACAGGCTGGCCTATATATTTCTTAAGAGCTAAAATAATGCGTTCGACATACAGACAAATGACCAATGTAGGTGGGAGGGCAGAGTTCTGTGATTAGACAGGAGAATTAGGAAATCTGTTCCAAGTAAATCCAGGGAATGAGTTGTGTAACTTCCTCCTTGAGGTCTGGGGTCTCTGACATAAAAGCTCTACATAGGTTTTTATTAGTAGCTCAGAAAAAATACAATCTAAAAAGATCAATTAATCTCCTGGCAAAAATTTCTGGTCATAATAAATCATAGTCCTGTAGGATGACATTATCTTCCTCAGCAGTTAAGAGTTAGAATTAAGCATTTGGTACCTTGAGAGCCTTGTTACCAGATAGTCATTGCTTTCATAATGTGTACACATCTCCTTAGTGTACACATCTCCTTAGTGTACACATCTCCTTAGTGTACACATCGCCTTAGTGTACACATCTCCTTAGTGTACACATCTCCTTAGTGTACACATCTCCTTAGTGTACACATCGCCTTAGTTTACACATCTCCTTAGTGTACACATTGCCTTAGTGTACACATCTCCTTAGGGTACACATGTCCTTAGTTTACACATCTCCTTAGCCTCAGGAAGATTAGCAAATAAATATTAAAAACATTCGAAATCCTAGTAAAGACTGTTTGGCATTGGCAAAGAACTAATCTGTAATTGGAAATCTATATACCTGTAATATTTAAGAGAACTTAGCCCATAAGAGTAAGCTTTGTTTTTGTTTTGTTTTGTTTTGTTTTTTGAGATGGAGTCTCACTTTGTCTCCCAGGCTGGAGTGCAGTGGTGGGATCTCAGCTCACTGCAACCTCCTGCTCCAGGTTCAAGCAATTCTCCTGCCTCAACCTCCTGAGTAACTGGAATTATATGTGCACTCCACCAGGCCCAGCTAATTTTTGTTTTTTTAGTAGAGACAAGGTTTCTCCATGTTGGACAGGCTGGTTTTGAACTCCTGACCTCAGGTGATCCACCTGCCTCAGCCTCCCAAAGTGTTGGGATTATAGGCATGAGCCCCTGCAGCCAGCAAAGAGTGAGTTTTAAAGGTACAATATCAAATATGCAATTGAGTACTTGAAACAGATATTTGAGCTTAAATTTCTTACTAATATAAACAGTATTGAAACATTTGGTAAAGCTTTTGGATTCACCATATTGATTCTTCTTACAAAAATAAAATTATCAGGGAAATTTTGTTTATAGACGCAGACACTAAAGAACTTAGGTGAAATAAAATATATTAAATGTGGAATTCCTAGTGAATAAGAATGATGGTTTCATAATTTCAAACTTAAAATATGTTATTATTTGCTTGAATTAGGCATGGTATTTTAAATTGATATTTTAGCACTTATATATTGTTTTGGAACAACTAGATGCATTTTAGCTTCACTACTTTCATTAATTAGATTTATAAAATTTATTTAGATACCCAGAAAAAAATTTACTGTCTTAAATTCAAAACATTCAAAAAATAAGTTGAAAAGGTTAAAGTTGTAGATTTTAAAATATTTGAAAATGTTTTACATTTGTAAGCAAGATTAAAAAAAATCATAAGCTCTTAAAATAATTGCTAAAACTTTCCATTTTAAAAATAAAATAATCCTAGTAATGAAAGAAACCTAAAAAAGAACTAGGCTTATACATCTATAAATTGAATAACAAATGTTAAAAATAAGCCTCAGAAGTTTTCTCTGCACAAACAAAAAAGACAAAAATGTCATCAAAAACCTACATTCATTTTTAATTACAAGTCAGATATTATTTAACAAAGAAATAATATGTCCCCTTTTGTGTAACGTACAGAATTCAAAGGAACCACAGGATGTCGTGTAGTTTATTCTCCAAGGTGGAATGCAATCAGTTTTGCAGATAATACTGATTAATTTGAGCCATCCATCTACCTACAAACCCTAGGCAAATAAACTTTACAAAGCCTTTCATTACATTATATACAAATATTTCTTCTCTTCATCAGTCATATTCTAATTATAGAGCTCAACAGGGTAAGTTTAGGCTGACAAGTATATATGCTTATTATTACAGATTCACAAAGAACTATTTTTCACTTATTAACCAAATAATGATCTTTCCTTTTAGCCTATAGACAAAATAAGGATGAGATTCATTAGGAAGTATTCCCCAACAGAGAAAATGTTTATGTAAGCTTATTCATGTGTTCTTTTCAAAAGCAAGGTAATTCAAAGTTTCTTTAAAGGGTTTTTTCTTAAGAGAGTAGAAAAAAAAAAAAAAAACAGATGTTTTGAAGTTTTAATCACAAGAATTATTTACCAACCAACCCAAAATGCATGGCCATTTATATTAAACAAGAAAACAAGTAGAATATGCCATTGCCTACATTTGTGCCCATATATACTCATTGTCGCTAGTCTCAACTGAACTCGTGTGCTGCCTAAAAAAAGAGACCGTGTTTATTTTCTCAGTCCAACCCATCACCCTTAAAAATGACTATGTCAATGTTTTACCATAAACACAATTCTGTATTTCCCTCTTCTACCCTTACTGTTTGCCTCTTTCTTCTCTGAGACAAATAAAAGCCAAGGCAGGGAACTGGGCCGCATCCTTCTCTAGCCAACCTAACGCCAATCTCTACTATGACCACTTCTCCCGCCCATTGAGGATCATTTCAAAGTCAATTCTGCAATGTCTTCTACATAAAACCAATTTTACATGCACTACCATTTTCCTGATTTTGTGTTTCCTTCTAAACTCTTCAGTAAGATTGTCAATATTCCCGATCCTAAGTCTGCATCTCGTATTCTTCTACACAGTCCAATCCCACTGCTCCTTGCATGACTTGACCAAATTCGCTGCATTTATTACTGGAGCAAAAGAGCTAATCACTACTTTGCTCCTATTCCAGGCATTATTTCTTAACTGTGTAAGATTACTAGACATAATCTAGCACACTAGGTTTTCTTTAAACACACACACACGCATACACACACAGTTTTCCATGTGCTAACAGTTGGGTTTCCAGGGAAGCAGAATACCAGATGGATACTAACAAGAAGGACATCTTTTATAAAATTCCCTTGGGATCAATACCTAGGAAAGAAGAGGGAAGCAAGGTAGGACAAGGAGAGAAAGTGGGGTGGATACAGCTTCAGCCCACATAGACACTGGTGTCAAAATAACACTTCAGAGTTGTATAAGGGCCAAGTTCTAGTCGGAACGGGCAGACTATGCCTTTCTATCCCTGTATTGATAAGTCATTGTTTGCAGACAGTTGAGGCCATCCTTAAAGAGGGCTGTAATCACAGCACCCATCATACAATGTAATTCCAATCTGAGGACGTTCCTTACACTTCTGTAATTCTTGCTTCTAGATTGTTCATTATCAGATCCTACTTTTCTACCTAATTTTAAATGTTGAAGTTCCTCATGTTTTCTTTTCCTCACTCTTCTTGCAATATACTCTTAAGGCTATCTCATCTACTCCCATTCCTTCCTTTAATAATGATAGGCTAAAGTGCCCCGAATTTGTATCTGCACCAGATATTTCTTCTAGCCCTAGACATATATTTGCAAAATCTCCAGGTAGAATTCTACTCATGATCTCCCCCCATCTCCTGTTCTTTTCCAAACAGTCTTCCTTTTCTCTTGCTCCACACATAGAAACTAGAATGATTTATTTCAAAATTCAGTTGAGGTCATGTTACCCTTCTGCTGAAAACTTTCGGTATCTTCCCACTGCCCTTCAGGTAAGGTAAGAACATACTTAAAGTGACTCAAAGCTCTGCACGTTCTGATCTACCTTTCTTCCCAAGATTTATCTCTAGGTTAATTTTACTTTTTCATATTTCCTCCTTGACCCCTGTCATTTGGCTAATCTTTATTTAAAGTATCAGCTTAAATGGCATTTCTTTAAAAAGTCTTCATTCATCAGGGCAGTTCAGGGATTTTGTTCCATAATCTCATTCTATCTTTGTATTTATTCAAATGATGAAATCATTTATTTTATTCTTTTGTTTAATATATTTTTCTCCTGCTTGACTGCAAGTTTCAAGGGGGGCAGGGGAATAGATTGTCCTGTTTTTGTTTGTTTGTTTGTTTGTTGTTTAGTCTGTGCCCAGTGACTAGAACAAGACTTGATACACAGAAAACATTTTATGTATGTGTATGCTGAGTAAAGCAGTGTGATTGAAGAATGCATATGTAGTGATTTGAAAATGTACATGCTAATTCCAGTACCTTTGGAGGCCAAGGCAGGTGGATCATGAGGAGTTCAAGACCAGCCTGGCCAATATGGTGAAACCCCATCTCTAGTAAAAATGCAAAAATCACCCATGATCCCAGCTACTTGGGAGGCTGAGGCAGGAGAATTGCTTAAAGCTGGGAGGCAGAGATTGCAGTGAGCTGAGATCACACCGCTGTACTCCAGCCTGGGGGACAGAGTGAGACTCTGTCTCAAAAAAAATAAATAAAAATAGAAAAAAGGGAACCAATTCTCTTTGACTTCCAAATGTGTAATATTCTACTATAACAACACCAAAGAAATGTGTAGTAGTTTATAAAAAATGGTTAACAACTAATTTTTTTCAGCACCAGAATCAACTATCCTGACTCTAGGTTTAGAAATTAAGTAAAAGGAAGAGGAAAATAACTTCGAAGAAAGTAATTCTTTGAAAGCTGTTAGGACAATACAATGATTTGAGGGCTTTGTGTTTTTCCATGAAAAGGTGGAGCTAAGTCTATTTTAGCAGGTTAAGGAGACACAGGATTTATAAATGTGCCAACACCATGGGCCTTAGAAATAACCGGTAAGATCAAATGAAAATATCAATCAAGACTGTCACTTTTTGATGAGATTGTTTTCAATCGATAATGAATGCAGGCCTCCAAATGTGTATATGTGACATATCAAGGTACATTTCTGCAAAACATAGTGCAATATGGCTTGTGGATTCAACATTCCTGTATTTAACTGAACTCAACCAATGTATGCCTTGGAAAGCAAGCATATCAAACATTACATCTTAATAGACTTCTGAAAGAAAAAATGGAGTTTCTGGTGATTCTTAAACAGTTTGCTGATTAGTTTACGGGATAGAGGAGAAAAATCTAACCCAGTACATCTTCAGACTGATCACATTCAGCCTCTAATCATGCTTCCAGCCTCAATTTAAAAAAAAACAGAGAATCATACATGAGTAATCTGTTCTGAATCATACTGGGATAATCCATGCTGATATAATACTTATGCATCTGTCTTAGAACATGTCTAGAATACTTCCTAGAATAGTCTAGGAAGACTCAATATCAAAAGGGATTTTGACATATGTTTATTAATTTGGGACGGTTTATTTCTTAAATACCAAACCTGTGCCAGACATTGTTCTAGGAAGAGAGGATTAAAAAAAAAAAGATAATTGCATGTAGTCTAGCCATAGAAAAAGATAAGTACTTAAATGCAGGAGTATACTATAGCTTCAAAGACAAAATGTATGGAGGTCTAGAAACCAGCACACATGGCATTAAACAGTTATTTCTGCATAAGGTGAGGCAATTCTAAAGAAGACTCGGAATTGAACTAAGATTAAAGAGAGATACACTCTTCTTGGAGCAAGTTTTCTGGGAGATGGGAGAGTAGAAGAAGTCAGGGGACCAAAGAAAGATGCAACAGAAAGCCCTGAACTAGCAGTCTTGCAGGTCTGACCTAGACTGCAATCTGAGAAAATTACAGGCAGTTTGATTGGCTGGAGCATAGGCCATGAGATGGGGCATGATGAATGATAGCTGGAAGAAGGCAAGGGTTATAAATGTCACACTAAGGAATTTTCACTCTTTTCTACAGGCCACTGGAAGAAATTTGAAGAACTTAAAGCAGGACAATGGCACATCACAAAAAATAAACATTGATGCAAGGTGATAAACAGAAGTTACTGCAGCAGAAGCATTAGAAAGTAGAATTGTATAATTTAACTGCAAAATAAGTACTTTCCTACCCCAACAAAAAATGTTCCGACACACAGGCCAGGTATTAATTATTTACCATTGTTCCCTACTGAAACAACACACTTTCAACTTCGTTCTTTCAGTTCTGAGTGTGCTTATCTTCAAGGATACATAACCTAGTCTCCACATTTTATCATAGAAATCAGTACAGGTGACTTGCTTATTTCAAAGTGGAGAAAAATAGAATAGAAACAGATGCATTTAGTCCTTAATTAGTCAGCTAAGCTATTTGAGGAAAAGGAGGTTATATCAAAATTTTAAACTTTTAAAACTGATTTATCATTATAACCACAGACAAGCAGATATTTTATTTTTCCTTCAGGAAATAATTTAGAAAAAAAACTTGAAATCCATGCTCCTGCCTTATTCAAAACAAAATGATATTGGGCACAGCTGTTCTTTTCAAAGACCACTGCAAATCACTCTTAAAAGCAGTGTGTTAGAGGGATAAAAACTGCCCACCAGTGATCACGCCTATGCCTCTTTTCCAAAGTGTTTGCCACCTCTCCTGTCAAGAGGTGAAGTCTATGTCCTTAACTCCTGGATCTGGGCTGCCCATGTGGCTTGCTTTGATCAATGAAATGTCACAGAAGTTATGTTCTAGGACTTTTGAGCTCATATTTAGTTTCTACTTTCCCTTTCAAAACTCAGCTCTACATAAAGAATTCCAGGATCTCCCATTAAAGAGGGTGACCACACAGAGAGACAGGAGGGTGACAGGCCATAAGTAAAAACGCAATCTGCATGGAAGACACCCATGGCATTCCAGCAACAAGAAGCACCCACAGCCCACGTGTGAAGGAGGCCAGTGGGTTCCACCAGCTCCAGCTGAGCTGTCCCAGCTAAAACCATGTCATTCACAGATCTCTCTTCTTCATCCCGCCCATATTGCTATCTCATGGCGTCAAACCCAACAAAATGGCTGTGATTTCAAGTCATTCAGCTTTGGGGTGGTTTATTACTCAGCAACATATGAATAACAATGAGTGCTAAAATACTTGCTAAATTTTCAGTGAAAAATTCCAGTGGCAGATCATGCTGCCATGTAGAAACTATCTGGCTCAATTCATACAAAAATAGCACAGCGTGTGGGACTCAGAGGGAACACCATAGCAGCAGGTCCTACATACCATAGCAGCAGGGTACATAGAAGGCCAATGTCCAAAGAGCTGAAGGTGACCCTATGTCTTTCAATATTCACATCAAGAAGCAAAAGCAATAGCACAGCATATCCCGCTCAGGGATGTGCGTATGTCACAGCTGCATTAGGCCAGAGCACGTGGTAATATTGTCTAAAGAAAGATACAGAAAACACATAGAAAGCTCTGAATTTCCTTTTCTTTAGAAGTTGTGTCCCAACCATGATAAAAGTGTCATTTTTTTCTTGAGGAAACAAAGAAAAAACAATAAAATTTCTCTCCTTTTTTTTTTTTTTTTGGCTGTTATATCCATTTTATGATGTTTTGGAAGTACTATTTATTCTGACTTTTAAAGCCAGTCACAATGTGTTTGGGTTTCTCTTATTTCTGTCTTTTTAAAGCTTCAACATAAAAGTTTTACAGTATATCACACATTGCAATATTAAAAGAAAACACTATCTTCGTGAAACAAGCAGTGTCATATAATATCCAATTGAAACTAACTTCAATGTGTGTGATATAAATATTGCTTTTTGAAAACATTATGGTCTGTTTGGACCACTCAGTATGTAATTTTTAAACTAGCATGCCATAGTGTTTAAATAGTTTTTACATTAGAAATGTAAGAAATGCTAAAGTATAGATTTTCAAATATTTAGGAGACATTAATATAATGCCGTGGTTTTTCTGAACACATATTAAACCCAGTTAACAAAAACAAATGGAAATGATAAAGTCTTGTTAATTTTTCATGTTAACTTCCATTTTTATTTTAATTCATTTCTGGCTTGAAACTATCGGCAATTTGTTTTTAGCAAACAAAACTAAATATATTAGGTCCTAGTTAGAATTATTTTCCTCTTAAGAATATCCCCTTCCCCCATTTTTTATCTAAACTGTCATAAGAATAGTAGATTCTCTTTTTTGTTCAGTTGCTTCTTGTTCCAGAGCTCTAGACACAAGTTGGATGGCTAAACTGATGTCTGCATAAGAAGAAAAATGGTCTTTAGACAATTTGGGAAATAAGCTTTTAGCCTCATTGCCAGGAAGTAGCCCCCAAAATAGGATCACAGCAGAGATGGAACGCCAGTGATAGGTCTTTAATTTCAAGCACACAGCCAGAGTTAGGGAACAAATTCAAATAACCTAGGCTTTTTTTTTAATGTATAAAGTTTTAATAATCATGGCATTTTGAAATGCAAATTTCACGCTAGTCAGCAGCTTATATTAGAGAGTTCATGGTTCTGACAGGTAATGAACTTTGGTAGAAAGGTCTTCCTCTTCCTCCTCCTCTTCCTTCTCTTTTTCTTCCTTCTTAGTTCTACTCTTGATTCTGAAACTCACACCGCTGGAATTCTGTGCCACACCATAGTTACACATTTTTGTCTACATTTTACTATATTGCATTTTCCTGAAGATTTCTTTAATGCATGCCCTAGTTCTTTGGAGATTTTCAATGCCTGTTTAACAGATTTCCTTATTCATCAGCAACTTCCTTTAGAATATAACAAGTTTCTTATGCGCCTGGAGTTCAGTCAATTGTGATTTTTTTTAATGTCTTTGTCACATGGTTGGGAATATTTCTGTTACTTTTTACCTCACTTAAGAAGCCCAATAAGTTTTCTTGCATATACAGCTACTAAAAAGGTTATATAACCCTTATTAGTATCTTCATTTTTTAACATTGTGAGTAGCTTAGGCCCACTATAGATAATTTGAGCCTACCATTTTTCATGGAAGAGGGCCTAGTTTAGCTTCATGTATTATTATTGTCTGTCATATTTGCTTTATCAGCATATATTTGAATATAATTTAATTCTAAAGCCTGTATTTTATTTCTTTCACATGGTTTATTTGCTTATGCTTGGATTTCTTCACATCTAAGAAAGGATTGATTTTCCCATCTCAGTATATTTTTAATAAAATCATAGCTAAGAACAGAACATTTCATCCATCTGCAACCAACCTACCTTCTTTCCTTTCTTCCTTCCTTCCTTCCTTCCTTCCTTTTCTTTCTTTCTTTCATCTTCAAAAATACTATACCCACACCTTTTACCAACAGACTAAGACATTTAGCCATACTAATCTATCTTATTGGCTCCTTGGCTTTGATTGATGGACTCACAAAAGTAGGTTGCTTGATGTTTCCAGAAAGTGTATCTTACCCTCATCTGTCTAAAATATTCCTAACATAGGACTGTCAGGTTTAGTAAATAAAAATATAGGATTTCTACTTACATTTCAATGTCACATAAATAACAAACAACTTTTTAGTATAAGAACATCTTCAATACTTTGTAACTTATATGAAGTTCAAATTTAAATGGGTGTCCTATAAGTTACCAGGCAATCCTGTCCTAATGGAATATTAGTTAAATCTCTTTAGCTTTTCCTCCAAACATTGCTTATAAATTTTCTGAGAAAATCATTAGTTTTATCTCCAGAAGCAAGACACTGTTTTCAGATAAGGATGGATTTCATTTTTTATTATTTTCATGTACTTGATTACTTATGATATTAGAACTGGGATCTCAGGAATAGCTTTGGGTAGCCACCAACAGTGGCTCATCATTGGTTGCTCTTTGGGAAAAGGGATCATAAGCCCCCTTTTCCTCACTTCCCCCCACTTCAGATTGACTTATTCATTCATCTTAAAAGCATTGCATGCCTACTCTACGACAAGTATTGTGATGTCAAGGAACCCAAAACAAGCAACAAGATCCTGTCCACCAGATATTTTAAGCCTATGTAAAATGGAGGGTGAGGAGGGGTTTGGGAGGTACAAGAATATGCTCTTTGTATTGATTTTAGTACCTGAACCTACATGCTTTAACTGAGCTACACTTACCTATAAATTGATGCTCCCATCATTGAAAACAGCTTATGCTATTACAGAATATAGTGCATAAGTGTATGGATTTCTTTACAGTCAACAAAAGGGTAAATGTGGCGTGAAGAAGGAAAAATATGCTAACCAAATGAAAAATTGGAAGTAGTAAAAATATTTTCTTTGAACTATAGAAATGACCTAAATCACTTTTGGTGGCTTTCTTTGCATCAGTACTACAAATGTTGGATTGTCCCAGCTCAGTCCTCAGCTATCTCTGTCATCATTCTCATGTCAGTGATCCCTGAAGAGCGTTTAAGGAGAGCCCTGGAAGGTCCTTGAGACCTCCCGAGGCAATCCAAAAGGTCTTCCCCAGATGACTTGCCCCTTCTTTTCACTCAGAGATCCACATAAAGTCTCCCCTTAGAAAGATCTTCTCTGACAACCCAGTAGAAAAACAGCAGCCTCTGTTACTTCATCATTTTTCCTACTTCACATTTTTTTTTAGTTCTGTTGCAACCTAAAATAAAATAAGTTAAATGAAATATAAGTAACACATTTGTTTATATTGGGTCTCCTACACAAGTTCAAAGAATATAAGAACGTGTATTTCTGTTTATTACTTTGTCTCCAGCACATTCAATAGTACCTAGCATATTGTGAGTCTATGGAAATAATTCATAATTTTTTGTACAATGAATGTATTTTATCTTAGAGTTTTTCTTGGAAAATAGTATACACTTTTTCCTTACAGCTTTTCCTGTTGAAGGACATTTCTCTTAAGTGAGTTTCTTCACTCCAGTAATTCAAAAAGAAAAAGTATATATAGAGAAAAAGCATTAATAGTATTTTATAACTTATCCTTAAATTTTTGTCATTTGTGTAGCTAAGGAAGTTTTTCTTTAACTCTGAAAATGAAGGCACATTCAGTGCCTTATATTTTCAATACCTGTGTAGACCAAAAATAGATAAAAACAAGCATCAGTAGAAAAGTAATATTGTATAAACTAATCTCTAATAGAGTCACAGTAAAGCAAATTAATGTTTGAAATTATCACCATTGGTCAAATCAATGGCTTGAGCTTCAAAATACATCATTCATTCCACAGCTAATTGGTCACTGACTACTGTTGGCTAGGTACTGGGGAGCAAAAGAGAAATTGACCATAGTTATCAATTTAAAAACCAAAAGCTTTGTCAGCGAAGTGTGTGCAACAGTTTTGCAGAAAAAACACAGTGAATTTAGTTTAAGACAAATAGAAATTTAAGTTACCAGAATATTGGGGAGAAAATGTGTAATAGAGTTCACATAGAAATTCAGGACTGGAGAAAGGGATTTGGCCATCATTAACATAGGAGTAGATGCCACTGAAGTGACAGAGATCACTTAGAAGAAATGGTAAACAAAAAAGAGGCCGTACTTCCTTGATTCTAGTGACTAGGAGCCAGACATTACAGAGCATGGAAAACACTTTACAAGGTAGAATTACTGAAGATGGCCTTTTTCTTTGAGATATGCTGACATGCTGAATGTGGGCTTTCTTTACAACAATGTGATCATTTCAACAACTATTAGTTACATGACGTTTTTACAGTTTACAAATGTATTACTATAGTGAGTTTTATTGTATTTGAGCCTCATGAGAGACTTATATTATTCCTAAAATATGCAAAACTTCTGAAAGTTTAAATAAAAGATCTCAAATAGGTTACTGATGTCTAATCCACAGCTCTTTGATGATCTATAGTGTCAGTGCTTTCAATGAAAAGAAGGTGATTTTCACCCTGCCCTTCTCTTCTAGTTATTCCTAATTGTTCTATATGACTTTATTGAAAGACTAACTTCAAAATCAATCTCTCCCCTTCTCAAGCCATCTTCCCCAATAAGGATAATTGTTAGGAAGTTCCCAAAGCTACCTAACAGCTACCTCCCCAGAACTTGGGAGTGCTTCTGACTATTAATTTGGAAGACATCCCAGGAATAGAGTTTCAGTTTGATTATAAAAAACAATAAAATCTTGGATATGACTATATTTAAATATTTAAAATTATTTAAAATTCATTTTCTGCAAAAAATTCTTGAAGGAAAATGAGAACAAGAGTTTATTTGAGAAGTAGTCATTTTTTGCTACAGATTGACTTACTAACTCTCTATGGTTCTACAAAGAAAAATATAAAACTGTATAGAATATTAAATATGCCAAATAATGAATTCCTTCAAGCATATATATATGCTTGTATGCCTGGCCAGGAAGTTAAGTTTGTTACTGCTTGGAGGCTGCTGAAAGCAAAATGAAAGAGTTCCATCAAGTGGTCATATAAAGACATAGCAGTTAGTATTTCACCAATACAAAGAGGAAAACAATTTCACTGAAATCTAGTTCAGACATACATTTCCAATCAAGCTATCAAAATTCTATGCCATGCGACATTAGAAAACATAATTAGATGCATTTTAAACATGATTACGAATTCATTTTTCCAATTCATTTTTAAACTGCAAAGGAAATACAATCTATGCATTTTTTTTATTTCAAATACTCTCTCCATACAGCTTGCATTTGAAAATATATGGTTATAAGCTTAATTTGCATGTTATAGTCATCTATTTAAATTAGTTGGCAGGTAAACCACCGGTAATAATGAACTAAGTATTTCGATTGCACTAAAAATTCAGAAACTACTTGCAAATGACCTATACATTTAAAAATAGTATAAAATAAATATAAAGAAAACTCAATTCAAGGATTTTTTAAAAGTAAAATATGTTATAAAACAAAACATAAGTTAACTTGCTTCTTTTCCTAACCTAAATTAAATGTTTTACCTTTCCAAATTTCATCTCCTCTATAAAGATGCACAAAACAGGTGTTTTTACTTTTTAAGCATAGTAGATTTAAGGGGTCCTTTTTTCATTATTTTGGGAAAACAGTCATGGCTTATTTTAATGTTATAATTCTACTTCTTAATACATATTACAAATTAAGATTTGTTTTTTGCTTAATAAAGCAGTAGCTCATTTGAGCAACCATTGTTTAATTAAATAAAGCTTTCTGAATATAAGTGTTTCTCACATTGGGTATAAACTATATATATATGTGTGTGTACAGATATATATTACTAGTGAGATGATGTTAAACAATATATTTTTATATAAGACATGAAATATATATTATCTAGACATAAAATTAGAAGCAATGTTTAAAATTATTAAGATCATGGGTTTTGGCATCAGAGAGATTTGACTCGAATCTAATCTCTTCCACTTTTTTCTTACGTAACCTGGATCAATGACAAGTATACCTTGTTCTATCGCACTTTATTGCAACTTGTAGATACTGTGCTTTTTACAAATTGAAGGTTTGTGGCCAACCTTCATTGAGCAGTTCTATCCACACCATTTTTCCAACAACATGTGCTCACTTTTGGTTTCTGTGTCATATTCCAGTAATTCTCACAACATTTCAGATTTTTCACTGTCATTATATTTGTTATGGTTACCTGATCAGTGATCTTTGATGTCACTATTGTAATTGTCTGTGAGGCACCATATATTCTGCACATATAAGAGAATGAACTTAATAAATATCATGTGCGTTCTGACTTCTTCAGCAACTAGCTGTTCTTCCATCTCTCTTCTTCTCCTCAAGCCTCACTATTCTCTGAGACATAACAATATTAAAACCAGGTCAATTAATAACCCTACAATGGCCTGTACATGTTCAAGTGAAAAGAAAAGCATCATACAGCTCTCATTTTAAGTCAAAAGCTGGAAATGATTAATGAAGAAGGCATGCTGAAAGTGAGAGAGGCCAAAGGCTAGATCGCTTATAACGAACAGTTAGCCAACTTATGAATGCAAAAGAAAAGTTCTTGAAGGTAATTAAAAGTGCTACTACAGTGAACAAATGGATGATAAAGACTGTAAAACATCCTTATTGCTGATATGGAGAATGTTTTATTAGCCTGGATAGAAAATCAAACCAACTGGCCAGGCGCAGTGTCTCATGCCTGTAATCCCAGTACTTTGGGAGGCCGAGACGGGAGGATCATGAGGTCAGGAGATCGAGACAAGCCTGACCAATATGGTGAAACCCTGTTTCTACTAAAAATACAAAAATTGGTTGGGTGTGGTAGTATGTGCCTATAATCCCAGATACTCAGAAGGCTGAAGCAGGAGAATTGCTTGAACCTGGGAGGTGGAAGTTTCAGTGAGGTGAGATCATACCATTGCAGTCCAGACTGGCGACAGAGCAATATTGTCTCAAAAAAAAAAAAAAAAAAAAATTAAACCAATCACCTCAAGCCCCAAATTCTCTTCAACTCTCTTCAGGCTGAGAGAAATAAAGAAGAAAAGTTGGAAGCTAGAAGAAGTTGGTTAATAATTTTTTTAAAGAAAGAAGCCGTCTCCAAAAGAAAAGTTCAAGGCAAAGCAGCAAGTGCTGATGTAGAAGCTGTAGCACACAATCCAGAAACCCTGACTAAGATAATAGATGAAGGTGGCTACGCTAAACGAGAGATTTTCAGTGTAGATGAAACAGACATACTGAAAGAAAATTCTGTCTAGGACGTTTATGGCTAGAAAATGAGTCTATGCCTGGCTTTAAAGCTTCAAAGGACAGGCTGACACTCTTGGTAGGGGCTAATGCAGCTGGTATATTTAAGTTGAAGCCAATGCTGACTTACCATTCTGAAAATCATAAGAATTATGCTAAGTCTACTCTGTCTGTGTACTATAAATGGAGCAAAGTCTGAATGACAGAATGTCTGTTAACAGTATGGTCTACTGGATATTTTTATCCAACTCTTGAGAACTACTCCTCAGAAAAAAGAATCCTTTCAAAATATTGCTATACATTGACAATGTACCTGAACATTAAAGAGTTCTGATGGAGATGAACAAGGATATTAGTGTTGTTTTTATGTTCGTTAACATAACGTCCATTCTGTAGCCTCTGAATCAAGGAGTCATTTCAACTTTCAAGTTTTATTATTTAAGAACTAAATACGGTAAGGTTATTGCTGCCATAAGGACTCCTCTGATGAATCTGGGTAAAGTAAACTGAAAATTTTCCAGAAAGGATTCACCACTGTAGATGCCACTAAGGACATTTGTGATTCATAAGAGTTCAAAATATCAACAATAATAATAATAAAACATCAACAAAACAATAACTTAGAAGAAGTTGAATCCAACTCTCAGAGATGATTTCAAGGGGTTTAACTCTTCAGTGGAAGTAAATACAAATGGGGTGGAAATAGCAAGACAGCTAGAATTGGAAGTGGTCCCTGAAGTTGTGACTGAGTTGCCCCAGTTTCATGATACAATGTTAATGCATTAGTAGTTGTTTGTTATGGATGAGCAAAGGAAGTGGTTCCTTGAGACAGAATCTACTTCTGGTGATGATGCTGTGAGCATTCCTAAAATGACAACAAATACTTTAGAATATTACAGAAACCTAATTGATAAAGTAGTGGCACAATTTGGGTTTGAAAGAAGTTCTACTGTGGGGAAAATGCTATCAAACAGCATCACATGTTACAAAAAAAGAAAAAAAAATCTTGCACAAAAGCGTAAGTCAACCAATGTGGCAAACTTCATTGCAGCCTTGTTATAAGAAATTGCCACAGCCACACTAACCTTCAGCAACCACTGCCCTAATCAGCTAGCTGCCATCAACATTGGGAACAAACCCTTTACTAGTGAGAAATCACAACTTGCTGAAGGATCATATGATCATTAGCATTTTAGCAATAAAATATTTGGAATTATATTATGTGCATTTTTAGACATACTTCTATTGCACACTCAGCAGGTTATAATGTAATATAAACATGAATTTTTTATGCATTATAAAATCAACAAATTTGTATGTCTCACTTTATTGCAGTATTTGCCTTATTGTCATGGTCTGGAACTTACTCTGCAATATCTCCAAGGTATGCCTGATTATCTCCATGTAGAATAGGAAAATAACACTACTGTTATGGGTATTGTAGAACTTACATAGTGTCTCTTATATCAAGCGCCTAGATTAGTAGTTGACTACCATCAAAATGCAAACACATTTTTGGGAAATAATATTTCCATTGTTCTGTCTTGCCATTGATAGGTGACAGTGATGGTAAACTTTCACCTCAAATTGTTTTATTTAAAGAGTTGAAAAAATATAAACAAGTAAGGAGACAAAAGATAAATGTACTGCTTCTATGATGGCAATATGATCATATTTTTTGAGTGCTCTATGACCTTCCTCCAATCTAGGCAATATTTTGGACTCACATTTCCATTTCTACTAGAAGCAATAGGGAGATTCACACTGTTACTCTTCTTTCTCTCTTTTGAAAATTTGCAGTGATAATAAGCTGATTTAAAATCCTCATTTACCGGGAAGAACACTCTTGCTGTCAACATGGTAATAAAATAAGCACTAAAGACAATGAAAGAGAGAGAATGATAAAGTGCATTCAGTAAAATATAAACAAGTAAAGGATGAGGACGCAAGGTATATGGGAATTATTAATATTTGTATTACTCTCAAATATTTTGTTCTGTTGGAAATAATTCAAAAGTAAGGTATAAGCAAAGATAAAAGAAAAACTAAAACTCCCTTTAGAAAACCTAAAAGTGAATAGATTCTCACTTTAAAAAACTTTTGACGATATGTCAGCTAGATGGAAAATAACCACAAAGGGAAAGCTGGAGATATAAGAAGAGATGTTGAGTGAAGAAAGTGGAAAGCATGTGGATAAACCACATAGTCTGTGTGGAATAACAAAAATATTAAATTTGGGAATAAAGAAAGAATACAATTAAAATGAGTCAATAAGTAAGATTAAATAGTGGATGATTTGATTTTTATGATTTTGTTTCCTATATTATATAAAGAGGGAATAGAGAAAATGACTAAAATAGATTTTAAGTAAATAAATCTGTTGAAATTTTATGGCAACTATTAAAAGAATAAAGAGGGAAATGGAATTTAAATAAAAATTAATGTAAAGGATGCAGAAAAAGTGATAAAAAGTAAAAGCAATGAAGCAAAAGAGGAACATACAAAGCAAGAAATAAGATGGTAATGAATCCAAATATAACAGCAATCCTAATATAAATAAATTAACTCTCTAGTTAAAGGTTAAATTCAATAAAAAATAAAATGGAATATTATACTATTGAAGAATCACACATGAAAATAAAAACATGGGAAAACAGATACACAAAGGATAAAAATTATGCTGCTTAAATATTAGTCAAAGGAATCTGGTGCATCTATATTAATACTATAAAGCAAAATCTTTAAGGCACAAAGCACTATATAGAATAGAAAACATAAAACAATGATAATTATACACTCATTTAAACTTGGATGCCTCTAATAACTTGCCTCAAAATATATAAAGAAGTCAACAAATCCGTCATATCAAAGAATATGCATTATTCTCAGATATGCAGAGAACTTCAAGAAAACCTGACCATGTGGGGAGGCCATAACGCAAGTATTAGGGAATTCCAAGGAATTATCAGACAGATACATTTCTCTAACCACAAAGCAAGGAAGTTTGAAGTCAGAAAAAAATATATATTTTTTGAAAAAGCTGTAGATTTGGAAATAGGAAGCATATTTAAAACATACCAGAAAGCAGTAAAGTCTGAAAACAGATAAATTCAACAGTTAACTTAAGATATTAGGGGGAAAAAACAAGAAACCCAAACAGAAAAAATGAAATTATAAAAACCAGCAATAATAATTAATGAAATAGTATATATACAGCAGATTAAAAATTAACAAATCCAAAGGCTAATACTTATATACTTAATATATGTATGTCTAATCTACTCTCAATATTAAACTATTATTTCTTTCCTATATATCAACAACGTTTTTTTAATTTTTATATTTACACAGAGGAATGTGAGATTCATCATGTTTTACTTAGTCATTTTTTTTAGCTCAATGTCATTTTTGAGGCCTATTTTGAGACCTATGTATATTGAGAGATAGTTTATTCCTTTTAACTATTGCCCAGTAATCTATAGATTAAATTTTAGTAATCTATTCCCCATTTGCTATCTATTAATAGTTTTTTAATGCATATCCCTGAATTTTCCTGTGTATCTCTATTAGACATTGCCCTAGAGAGAAATCACAAGCTTTTTAGAGATGGGATATACTCAATTTCCCTAAATGTTGGAGAATTAATTATTTAAATGGCATTTATCAGAAAATCTGACAAAACGTTTTCTTCATATTAAAACAGAAATCCTTAAATTGCTTCTTAGTTTTCAAAAAACAAAAGAGTTGAGAAGTATTCAGGGTTTTGTGTTTTGTTCATTTGGATCAATAATCTCCGTAATCCTGTGAATCATCTTTTTAACAAATTTCTAAAGCTTAAGTAAGACAATATTGTATTGTTCTATATTACTTAAAATTTAGTAACTTTTATTTCTAATTACAGTGGTATGACATTGAGTGTGTGTGTATGGGTGTGTGTGTGTGATTGGTATGTATATAAATTATCTACTACATGCAAGATATAAAAATATGATAAAGTGTTTGGACCATAGCCTGAGAAAACAATATGTCAACCAGTATGAGGTTGCTGAGATGATGTTCAGATATCATCTCATGTTTCCATATGTTTCAAAGTTTATTTCCATATTGCCAAGTTTATAACAATGACATGGCCATTTCTTATACAGGAGACAGATGATCTCTAGGTACGCTTATCATAAAACTAGTTTAACAAATTAAGACACATTGAAAATAAAAGAAGCCTCAAGGATAAAGCAGGACCAATCCTTGAACAACCCATATATTCAATATATACTCCACTGGCTTTCACAGTGAAAATACACTGTGCGCTGTCACGAAGTTGGTAGACTCCAATCCCCAGCAGGTGCTGTGCCTGTCTTTTGCATAGCTGGAGGGATTGTTCGTCCTCTTTGCATACATCATGATTGTTAATAAAGTGACATTTGTCAAAATGAGTAAGCACCTGTTGCCATGGAAGGTGCCACAAGCAAGAATATAAAACAAATTGTTGTAGTTGGCTAGAAACCA